GGATGGTGTCAGGGGGGACGTGGAGGAGCAGGCAAAGCTGGGCTGTGCCTCCCAGCTGGCCTTTCCTTCGTGCCTTTCTGTGTTAGTTTGTTAAAAGGCCCCATTCCCGTTCCAAAGGAGCCCCGGGCTGGATTTAGCTGGATAAAGCTGGGTTTTTTTTCCCTCTACCTATATTGAATTTATAGCTGCGAATATGTGAATATTTTGGAAAATATAAACCAGTGCAGAAATATAAATATATAAATAGAAAGGTATAAATATAAGCCCAATATTAAATATAACAATATAGAAAATACATGTATATATATGAATATAAGACATATATGCGTATGTATATATATGTATATATATGAATATATGACAGACTGCCCAGCAGCCCCAGCTCCATCTGCAGAGCCCTCATTCCGGCCTTTTTTTCTCTTTTAATCACATTTATTTGCCCACGAGAAGTGGTGCAGCCCGTCACCATTAAACAATTTGACCAAGGCCATGAGAGGGGGCAGTGGCAGAGCAGGATCATGGAATCCTGGAATGGTTTGGGTTGGAAGGGACTGTAAAATCATCCAGTTCCACCCCCTGCCATGGGCAGGGACACTTTCCACTGTTCCAGGTTGCTCCAAGCCCCATCCAATCTGGCCTTGGACACTTCCAGGGATCCAGGGGCAGCCACAGCTTCTCTGGGAATACCATCCCAGTTCCTCACCACCCTCACAGGGAGGAATTCCTTCCCAATAACCAACCTAATTTCCCATCTTTCAGTGGGAAGCCATTCCCCCTTGTCCTGTCCCTCCAGGCCCTTCTCCAAAGTCCCTCTCCAGTTCCCTTGGAGCCCTTTTAGGCACTGGAAGGTTACTCTGAGGCCTCCACACAACCTTCTCTTTCCCAGGATCATCCCCAAATTTACATTCCCTGAACCACAAGCCAGGGTAGTTCCCTCTTTTTCCTGGATCTTTCCCCTCTTTTTTCTGGATCTAATTTTTTCCTGACTGTTAGAAACAAAGCCAGAAAACAAAAGGACACCCCTTCCCAAACCCAGCAAACCCCGTGGGATCCTCCCAGCCCGCTCTGCCCAGTGCCACCAGTCCACCCTGGGAGCACCACCAGCCTGTGCTGCACCTTCCCATTGTTCCCTCAGGGCTTCAAACCAGAAAGGCAAGTTGGAGAGGAGAAGAGAAAAAAACCAATGTAGTCCAGGAAATAATCCAAAAGCACTTTAATTACACACACACTGGGCACTGCCTCTCCCTGTCCCACTGATCCAGCGAGCTCGGGAATGGTAAATTAGGTCAGATTATGTGAGCACTGAAATAAAACCCAGAGGCCAAATTCCTGGAGTCCACACCTTCACCTCGGAGGTTGCATAAGTGCCAAGGGGGCTGGAGCTGTTTGGGTGGCTCTGGGGGAGCTGCAGTGCAGTTTTGGGGATGGAATAACCCCCCCTGGAGCCCCAGCAGGGCTCAGTTCTCTCTAATTTTCTTTGCTGGTGGCCCTCCCTGGCATCAGCCCCGTGCCCTGTGCTGCTGTCATGTGCAGACCTGGCTGTGAAACCAATTCCTTGGTGATCCATGGCAAAAAGGAGACAGCAGTGTGTTTTAAAGTTGGGGATGATCCTGTTTTAAAGTTGGGGATGATCCTGTTATAAAGCTGGGGATGATCCTGCTCTGCCACCTCCTCCTCAAAACAGTCAAGTTGGTTTATCCTGATGGGCTTCCCCACTTTTAACCCCCCACATTAATCCCTGCTCTGATTAATGTTGCCTTGATTTTCCAGCCCCAGCCTCCCCAGCAGCACCTTCAAACCCGGGGGTGCCCTGTGCTGGTGCTCCCATAAGTGGGTCACTCCACCTCGAAGACAAAACAAGTTTGTTTGCTTATTTTCCTGGTGTTTGCTGAGCTGGAGATAAAGAAAATAACTGGAACAGATGATGTTTCCGAGCAGATGATGTTTCCCCGTGGCTCTCCATCCCCAGGAGCATCACAAATTGCAGCCAGGTGGGCAGGAAAACCCAGGCTGGTGCCAAAGGACCCTTTTCCAGGGCATCTCCTGAGGCTGATGCTGCCTTGGAGCTCAGGATGGTTCTGGGAGTGAGGTCCAGACTCGCTGTTTAAATTGTATTTTGAGGCCTTGAGCGTCTCTAAGGAAGGATGGAGTTGGGATATGCTGGGAAGAGGGATGTGGGATGGGGAATTGTGCCCTGGGATGTGCAGCTCCCACATGAAAACTGCTTTTTTTTTCTCCAGCAAAAGGATCTGGCACCAAAGCTGGCAAAAAAAAAAAAAGAAATAATGGCCGTGGGGGTATAAAGTTCAGGCTGGTTGTTCTGCAAATAAGATTAAAAACATATTAACCACATCCATTTGCTCTGATCCCTCTCCTAAAGGCTTTCTACAAGGCCATGAACCGGTGCCTTTTCCTTTCCACAATTAAAAATCGTGGAATCCCAGAGTGGTTTGGGTTGGAAGGGAGCTTAAAGACCATCTCATTCCACCCCCTGCCATGGGTAGGGACACCTTCCACTAGCCCAGGTTGCCCCAACCTGGCCTTGGATACCTCCAGGGATCCAGGGGCAGCCACAGCTCCTCTGGGCATCCTGTGCCAGGGCCTCTCCACCCTCCAGGGGAAGGAAAAACCCCATTATCTGGTGCTGAATCTGTCAATTAAACTAAAATGTCTCCCAATTTGCACCGAGACAGGCGGTGGCACCTCATGGAAAGGACAGAACCCTCCCTCCAGCAGGGTGCTGCTCAGCTGTCATAGAAGTTCGTAGGTTTGAAAAGTGGAGGGAAAAAAATTCAGATGTGTCCCAGTGGGTGGTGGAGATAAAGCCCAGGTCCTGTGCCCACCTCCCAGCTGGACCCTCCTGCCTTATCTGGGTGGGTCCAGCAGCTCCTGCCCCTGAAGGAGCACGATAAGCCAGCCCCTGTAATCAGCTGGGGGTGCCAGGCAGATGCTCCAGGGGGCTGTGGGCACCTGCTGTGGGCAGGGACTGGGGAAAGCAGGAGCCTTCCACTGCTTTCTTCACTTCTTCTGCTGCATCTGGGCTGGTTTGGGGCCGTGATCCCTCCGTGGGGCTGATTCATCTCTTCCTTTGGCTGCCCACGGTGATGCAACGTGGCTGCAGATTGCAGGGGGTGTTTGCCACAGGCTGGGGGGTGTGTAAATCATGGAATCATGCAGTGGGTTGGGTTGGGAGGGGGTGTGTAAATCGTGGAATCATGCAGTGGGTTGGGTTGGGAAGGATCTGAAAGGTCATCCAGTCCCACCCCCACGGGCAGGGACATCTTCCACTGTCCCCACTGGCCCTGGACACTTCCAGAGATCCAGGAGCAGCCACAGCTTCTCTGGGAATTCCTTCCCAGCCCCTCCTCACCCTCCCAGGGAGGAATTTCTTCCCCAAATCCAACCTAAATTTCCCCTTTTTCAGTGGGAACCGATTCCCCTTGTCCTGTCACTCCAATTCCTGAGGAAGAGCCCCCTCTGCATTCCTTTCAGATCCTTCCTTCCCTTTGGATCCGGAAGGTGCTGTGAGGTCTCCACACAAACTTCTCTTCTCCAGGATCATCCCCATCTCTCCCACCCCCTGGGACACCTCCCTCTCTCCCAGGTTTCTCCAAGCCCTGTCCAGCCTGGCCTTGGACACTTCCAGGCTGAGCTTGTTGCAGCCCAAACGCTCTTTTAGCAGCACAAAGATATTTTCCCTTCGTTGTTTCCCTGCTCCAACGGAGTTTGGAGCTCGTGGAGATTTCCAAGGCACCTGCTGAGCCCAGGGATCTCCAGGATGGGATTCACCAAGCAGGGGCTGTGCCCTTGGGAAGGGAACAGCGAGGGAATCACTGCACAGGACCTTTTCCAAGGAAGGTTTTGCAGATGAATTTGAGTTCACTCTGTCCATGACTCTCCTTTGCCGGGCTGGGGTGGAAAAGAACCATCCCAGACACACAAAGCTGCCCCTTTTCCTGAAAACATGGAACACAACGAGCCCAGAACCCAGAACAGCCTCTCTGCCTCACTTTCCTTGCACAAACAATGAATAATTTCATCCCTTCTCGGTGACCACGGGGAAAATCCTCAGCCTGTGCTTTTTCTTGGGCATCTGTGGCTGGAGGAGCTGCCCCGGGAGCAGGAGCAGAAAGGATTCCTCATGTCACTGCTGCAGGGTTAAAATATAACCTGTTCCTACCTGGGAGCAGCACCTATTCCACACTGATTCATGTCATTATCAGGGAGCAGGACCCGAGGCTGCAGGGAAAGGGCTCGTTAGGGTAAGTGACACTTTAATTCCCCCTCCCTGCCCTGCCAAAGGCACGGGGAGGAGATTAAAGGGCCTTTGATTCTTGTTTATGGAGGAGAAAACCCAGATAAAACCCTGTGGAGCAATAGTGGAAAATGTTCCCCTGCCAGTTTTATTTCGGGCATTTCCCTGAGTCACAGAAGGGGAAGTTTCTGGTGGCCACGTTTGGCTCGTGTGTGGCAGACCCAGGGCGAGCTCTCTGCTTGGGATTCCAGGGGGGTTTGCAGCTTTAAAATGTCCCTTGGGCTGGAAAACACAGTGTCAGATGTGTCAGCAGCACGGATTTAGTCTCCTCAGGAGGAAACAAAGGTGTGATAATCCCGTGGCTTCTACCAGGGGGAAAGGAAGGGGAGGTTTAGCAATTCCTGGGTTAGATTTGGTGTTGGTGAAGGGTTCTGGAGTCTCTGCTTTCTCCAGGTGGGTGACTCCTGATCTCAGGGATGGTGGGATGGCCAGGTCTCAGCTCCAGCTCTCCCACCTCCTGCCCAAACCCCGCTTTGGGTGCAGAAAGCACTGCCAGGTCCCCAAAATCAATCAGGCGTGGCCATGTCATTGTTGTTGTCATTGTTGTTCCCTCCAGCTGCTCCACGTTCCCGCTGGGAACAGAGGCTTCCCAGCACAACCACGGGAATGAGGGAGCAGGACAGCACGTGCTGGCCCCAGCACCTCTCCAGGGCCCTCCCGGGAGGTGAGGGCAGGAGCAGACCTGGAGTTTCTCGCCTCATTTCACGGGGGGAAAACCAACCCCTTTGTTGTCCTGCTTTTTTTCTGGGCTCTGAGGGTGGTTTTCTTCCTCCCCGAGGCTCACTCAGCAATAAATTGCTTCGTATTATCGTGGAAATGGTTAACCTTGATTTCAGCTCACGCCACAAACACCTCCTTCCCTGCAAGGTCGAATTCCAAATAATCCTTTGAGGAGGAATGAAATAAAGTCAGGGCTGTTCCCGGCGCCCTGGGCCACGAAGACTTTGCCTCCTGCTCTCTGAGAGGGTCAAATTGAACTGCTTTGGGCTGATTGCACATTGGAACAGAGAAATAATAATATAAAGGATATAAATAATAAATTAGAAATACGTAATATAAAATAATTAAAATACTAAAACAATAAAACA